TACTGTAAGTTCTTTTGTTCCTGTACTTCTTACTTGCTGCTGCATTCTGCTACATTCGATACGCTACCTCGATTCTGCTTGAGAATTGAAGCTGTGGAGCAGTAAGGTCGAAACTGCCGCGCGCGGCGTCTCTCGCCGCGACGCGGCAATTTCGACCTTACTGCTCCACAGCTTCAATTCTCAAGCAGAATCGAGGTAGCGTATCGAACGCGTATACGGCCTATACAATGGGTTACGTGAGAGCCCAACCGCTGAACAGTTTATCTTGGTAGTTCCAGCTACACGTCAAGTGCCAGAGAGAACAACTATTAAAATGAATGAAATGAGTTGTGAAATTGCAAAGCAAACTGCAAGGATTTCAGAAACGTCTACGGAAACATAGCTTAGCCACGACATACTGAGAAAATAGGGCATCATTGTGAACACACACACACATGAAAACCTGGAGGATAACCGAGTGGTAGACATCGTAGGGTTTCAAGCTGGCGTTTTCTACAAGTGAATTTAAGTATGATGGTGAAGATTCTGAGGAGAAGCTAGCGATAACACTTAAAGTGACGGCAGCAACGGCACTCACACAAACATGCGCACATCGATGATCCTTATCGAGCGACCTCCATGGCATGGGGATTTCCAGTTCAAGCTTCAGTGTAAAGTCATGAGAGGATCGCTAGCACATGATAGACTGTAAAGAACTGGCAGGACAGAAACTGAGGAACGAAAAGCGAAGAAAAAAAAAGACAAAAAACCCAACGGGGTAGATTTACGCGCAGGTTCTCTCACGTGGTTGCAATGAAGAACTTGAAACTAATATGATCACCGGCTCGAATATCTTTGACTCAAAGTTATTTGTGTAACAATGCCTGCACTTGATGAAGTAGTATGCCTGATCGGTCAAAATTTTCAGACCTCATGAGCGCCACCCAATGATCGATCCCCTTCGGAACCCGGAAATCAGCTGCGGTAAAGCAGTGGGCCAAAACGGATTTTATTTGATCCAAAATTTATTTGAACGCTATCACACTACCAAATGGATAAGTAACTAAATAATGAACGATAATCAAGGACCTATTTTTATAAAAAATAATTTTAAAAACCGAAAAACAACCAGAAAATAGAAAAAAGACCACACAACTGGTTGCTGGTAACATCCATGTAGCAAAGTGATCCATAGCTAGCAAGCTGCCTACCATACTCCTACAGCACCTTTAAGGTGGAACTGTTCACATAGAGACTACTTGCAAGACACTTGAGAATCGTTTTCAAAACATTCGTGGCTACTTTTTCCCGTAATATCCGTGCTGGTATAAGGATCCATCCAAATCCATTTAAAATCACCAGTATGTGCTGTGCTTTTAAAAGGTATATAAAACTGTCATTGCTTGCCTATTACAGTCTCTACTGGTTCTTCGTCAACAAAACAAGTCATAACAAGTTAATACCCCAAGTTTCTGAAGCGCCACAAACAAACTTTCAAACGAAACACATATAATGCGAGTGGATAGCTGGTTGAGTGGTGTATATTTTCTACTCCCAGTCTTACTGTTAAGTTCAACTAATTTTTCGCAACTTCTCCCAAATGACGACGGGTTTAGAGTGAAAATGACACATTCGATACTAATTAGCATGCCCCATTCACATATGTGATGTGTAGAGCGTTCCGGACGTTGAGGAATGAGCAGCTTAATCGGTTGCTACTCGAAATCGCAATGATGTCAAAACCCTTTCACCACCCTATCAGACAAAAAGCGTGTACCAGCAGACGTCAAGCTAAGCGTTTCTGTATTAAATGAGTCTGGTGACGATTTTCCGGGGTGGTGCAGTAGGAACGAAATTGTCGCGTCACGGCAAAAAGGACGCCGCGCGCGTAGGAATACAGCAGAATGCAGCAGCAGGTAAGAAATACAGGAACAAAGGAAGTAATAGTAGAATTATGCTTAGAATAAGGATCGCATATCGATTGAACTGTATGAAGAGCGCTAGAACTATAACCCATTGGCGACCGCGCTTTTATATTGCCCTTACATTAACCTTTATTTTCTCTTGTATCTGTAGTTAGAAATGAATGATTCCTGTACCACAATGCTTCAAGATTCTGTAGAAGGCTAAGAGCTCAGCTGATACATGAAAACATGAAAAAATTATAGGAACACTTGATAAATAATATAAATACCCCAGCGAGCCAAAGACGTGCGCCGTGGCATCGGGACGCATGGTCGCCGTGATAATAACGCCGAAGCGAATGGTCCGCGACAGCCGCGTGCGGCGAATGGATTCACAAAACCGTTCCTACTGCTCGTCTCCCTGATTTTCCTATCTTGAAAGGTAAAGCTTTGAGAAGGGGTCAATTTAGGACCAGCAAATGCCAGACGCGTTACATACAAGCCCTTCTCTACTCCTTAGTTCTAACCTCAAACCATTTCCCGGTGATTTGATGCAGATTCCGCAGTACTCGCAGTCCTTGTACCGTTTTCTTTTGAAATTAAACATTTCTCTGAATCCTTTCGGTTATTGTAAAGGTAAACATAGCGAGGGCATCAAAACACGACGGAAAGAGAACAGTTGTGTAAAAACGAACTGTGACGTGTAAACATTTTTCCTTGCAAACAAACTATTTTTATAAAACGCAAGAAGATTATCGAGGAGGCAAAGGGTTTCTATCGGAGCATGCTCTATCAGTGTGATTGCATACGTTGAGCGGAATCCTCAATAAACGGATTATGAGCAGGAAAGAGTCGACTACTTAACTGAACGACTGAAGGCGGCCATCCTACCTAGTAACCACAGTTACCAGTATTGCACCACAGTAAGCCAATAGAAAAATATCCAAAACCATCAGTACCATATATAGGGCAGAGATTTGAGATTTTTAGGTTTTGGGCAATTTAGCAGCTTATTGGGGCTTCCTATGAAAAACATAAAGTGAGTAGTGAAGATGCGATAGTATCGCCTGCATAAGAGCCAGCACAACTGAGGTGAGAAGCTTATTCAAAGCAAAACTGTTGCCATGGTAACAACCAGTTTATAGTGATAGTGGCTGTAATATCATGCTCTTTTCGTAGTGGCGAATTGAGCCAAGCAGTTTTTGCGTATGAGTACGACCCTTTTTGAGATGGAAATCCGTATAGGACAGAATTGATAAGGACGAGTTTCTTTCCTACTAGTATGCCACACTCCCTCTGAGCCGTTTGAACCACTAAACCCATTCGAAAGTGCATACTTCAGAGTTCATTGAATTGCGTTAAACGCCGCAAACCTGATCATGAAGGGTGCGACCACAAAAAACATCTGCCCCGAATCAATAAATTTTAAACCAAGCTCCTACAGTTATTCTCATCATCGCGATCGATATCGTTTCAGACAGAAACAATGCGTTTTAATTGCACAACAAACTGTACTAACATTATATAGCATTAAGATGTTGTCGGCTACGGCATCGAAAGCAAGATGAAGCATACGTGACTAGGCTAAGTACCAATTTTTGATTGGTCAGGACGCGCCATCGCGGTCACCGTGCTCGCAGTGACCTCGGCTAGCCGTGTCGAGGTCGAGGCCCTTCGTTTTTTTTTTGCAAATTGAGGGGTGAAGAGCCCTTCAGCGATTAGTTGAGTGGGGCGCGCCCGCTGCGATCTAGTGGCGGCTCCTTCTTACCCGTACCCATTGAGGAGTTCAAGAAGACTTTCGCAGTGCCTTTGCTGAATTGACAACAACTCTCCTATTTTTAGTACAACGGGTAGCGAAAATCACATTTTGAATGTAGAAGTAGGTGAAACCATCGGCAAAAATGCAGAGGTAATGAAATACAAAAACTTTTGATCAAACTTACAGGTAACTTGAGCCCAAATTAGAGATTTCTTAATAGGCTTCTACTCGAATAATTAAAATGCACATGCCACTTGCGTTCCTCTGCTTGGGAAGAAAGCAGGTTGTTTAAGGGTTTGTTAGAGAGCCGGAACGTGCCACCGCAGCAGGCAATTGATGATCGCTGCCCCTATCGGGGACATATTTGGATTGCAGGAAGAACGTTCGGTTGAGACCTTTTTTTTGTCTTTTTTATGCATCTTATTAAAATACCACTTCACACAGCATTAAGGTTTCTTTGTTCTGCCGACATACAGTACTTACTAGGTAGAATATTGATTGAAACTCGTCCTTTTGCCCATGTATGATGAGGTCTCGGGAGAATAAGGGAGTTTCGCAATCACCCCCTCAACCCTGTCGTTTATTGGCGGCTTTCCATTCA